CAGAGTGGGACTCAGTTTTCCAAATGCAGCTGCAGTGCTGGGACCAGATGTGCACAAGAAGATAATCATACAAGTGTTGCTATTTTCAGTATTTAGTCACATCTTTGTTGTACACCTCAAACATTGTGACTTCAACTGTTTTCGGTTATCTCCTGGGTCTGTTCGAGTAAAAAATATTAAAGTGTTACTTTTTAATATTTGCTGGCAGAGTCTAAATAATAAGTGATGACGTTCCTCGGTGCGCTCTCTGTCTGCAGGGTTTTTCAGCAGGTGGACTCAGCAGTGGTGTGCCTGCTCCAGCAGCCGCAGGCTAAACCGTACGTGCAGTCTCGATCCTGGGAGCCTTTCTCTCGCTGCTGTAAGTGTCACGTCAGTCTGCAGCGTTCAAATGTGCCAACACGTCACGGTTCATTTCCCTCGTTCCTTCAGTACACAGACATTTCAGAGGCGTGTTGGGCTGTGAGAAAGTTGTCCTTCATCAACCAAGCACATGTTCTGTTAGGATTCACAGGCCTACTGCTGTGTGGTTGCCATTCATGTGACAAATACAATGAGAGGCAGTGGTGATGAGCCTGCTGTAATTCTCCAGGTCCGGCTGACAGAAACGGGGACAGCACTGATGCTGCTGTGGGGAGCAGTATAGCCAACCTGAGGTGCATGGAAGGCGAGGACCTGCCTCAGTCTGATTCCTCATACACGCCTACCGACCTCCCTCCAGTAGACCCATCGACCCCCGCAGAGCCATACCTCGCTCCAAGGTACAGCTCTCCCATTCTCTCTACGGAGGTAGTGCAGAAATTCATCATTGGGCCTGATGCACACTTCTCCCCTTGAAGTCGCTCCCAGTTAAGAAGTGTTTCCTTTGTGCTCACAGCCTGGTGCTGGGTGCAGCTCAGCAGGACTGGTTAGACCTGAGGATTCAGACCAGTGCCCGTCGCTGGAGGCTGCCGGGGCTGCCCTGCCTGTCCAACTCTGAACACTGAACACACACACACTTTGATTTAGTAGCAACATTTGAAGGAAATATCATGTAAATACATAAAAATAATGATTTTATTTTTGATAAATAGACATGAGGGGCACCATGAAGCAGGTGCGACATAAACCCCAGTCAGACACAATGGGACAACACTGGTTAGAACTTCACGCTCACATATGTTTGAAATGTGTCAAATGAATGAAATGATAATTAATTTAAAAACAAAATGCTCTTATTTTCAGAAATATTTCTTTTACCTGTGTTTTATATACCTGAATAAATCAGTTTGTGTTTGCATGTTCATGTGCTCGTGCTTCTTTTCATTGCTGTTGTTAGTTTATCAGACTGGAACTGGACTAAGTGCACCATGAAAACCATTTGATGCTCCTTATCTCATTCAGCTGAATTCATTTCTGTGCTTTATGACTTTATTTCAATAGTTCAAACTGCAGAACAACAAACACAGGACCTGAAGACAGAAGCAAACGTTACGTTGTGTTATAAAATGATTTTCTTTTACTTTTGATTCTGTTCCCTGTACTCTCGATGGACGAGAAGCACAAATCATTTCTTTGCTAACCCCTCCTGTTGTTGTTCGCACAAATGAAGTCAGGACCGAGAACAACAACAGTTCAGACTACTCAAGGACAGGAATACATTTCTAATCATCCATCCTGGTTGTTATTAGTGCACCATCTCAAAGCCATGCATCATCGCAGGTCTCGCTGCCGTCTCGTAAGCACTGTATGACGTCAGTGTTATACCTGCCTCACATTCTGTCTTGTTTTCACTGACCGCCAACTTTCCGTTCTCTCATCTACCTCCTGCCTCACTACAGATCTCAGTATTGTCTTCAAACATCACGGTCTATGGACGCTGACTTCATCTGTGTCCATCAACACAGCAACCAGCAGTTGGGCTTCATGCCGAGAAAGAATGAGAGTCGCCTCTCTTCTTAACCCAGCTTCAACAGCTCGATCCTATCTGAGCTCTGCACATCACTCTTGTTCCAAATCTGTTCCTCGGGCATCCTCTCACTCTCTAAGCTTGTGACAAACAATTTGGTCCATACTACACAGGTACCAACATCTGTACCAACTCATCCTCTTCACAGCTGCCCTCCTCTTCATCAATCCTCTGTATTTCCTGATTCACTAACTGTCCTCCATCCTTCTCAACACGTTTTCTTCACTCGTTAGTACGTTCACATCTCTGTCTTAACTCACTACAGGTATAAATCAACACAGACCCCAGGATACGACATTCTCACCATACTTCACTCACTAAACGACACATTTGCAACTTCAGAAATGTTGTGATATGCGGTGTTGCAATAACATATACTGATTATTATCACCTTTTCTCAACTGCAGATTGTGTGCATACAAGCCCTACATGACCAACCACAATGCAAAGTGTTGGATGCAGTGATGTAAAGCATGCTGCCGTCTAGTGGAGGCCTGTTCTCTGAACTTTGGCTTTGGTGATTGCCAACAGAGCGTTACTTCTCTGATTGCACTGTGCCAGGTGTAAAGTTTGGTGGAGGGGGGAATTATGATGGGGGGTTGAATTTCAGGAGTCGGGCTTGCCTCCTTAGTTGTAGTGAAATTAACTCATTAACATTTCCTTTGACAAAGAGCAGCTGTACAGAATCTCAGTAGGCTCATCTTGTTCATTTGAATCTTTTCTGCTTATTTATTCATTTCTATCTGTGTTATTACCAGTGTAGGTACTAGTTAACTACGTTAATAACTACCTTATTATTGTGGTAACGAGCACGGTAACTAGTTATTATGCCAAAATCAGGAACGTGTTAATCGTTACTGGGATTTAGATAGGCTCCACAGAGCTTCCGCAGATTCAGTAACATCAGCAAGTGGTGGAGGCCAGCAGGTGGATGAGGGAGATCGGAGGCAGGAGGAGGAGAGACCCGAGGCAGCGCCGGTCCAAGTGTCAGGAGCACTGAACTTCAGGTAAGAAGTTATGACCTGCAGTCTATCCGGGTCAGATATAAACCAAGTTTAGGTGGAGTTTATTTTCATTGTGCTGGGTACGAGTTTCTATACAGCTGGGTGGGTGCTATGATGTTACTGATGTTGAACTTTATTTTATTCATAAGGTTAGTTAGTAGAGTTGGCGTAAAAAACGGAATCGTCTGGTATTCAGAGAAAATATTACGCGTTTCTTATTGAGGTGAAAAGGAACAGTTTGTCCCGGATTCAGCTACAATGGAAAAGAGACACAAAGCTGGAGTTTATTCTGTGTCTTTGCTGCACAGCTGCCTCTTCTTCTCTCATCTCCCTCTCTGTTGCTACTTCAATCATGAAACTGATCAATGATCAGCTGATCGGTCTCTCTTGTTTGTTTATCGCCTCACTTTGCTGCCAGAAAGAGGAAACCAGCGAGATGTCGCGCTAAACAACAGCAGCACGTTTAAGCTTGATCAGCTGTTGTTAGAATTTATTTAATATTAATTTCTAGTATCAGCTGATGTTTGCTGGAGCCACAGCTGTAAAGCTGCTGGTCATGATGTTCGGTTGATATGTGGTGAGAGGGAAACATGAAGATGAAACCAGGAGATGTCCTTACTGAATCATCAGAGCTGAACAGGTGATGGAGAAACAGGTTTACCTTTTAGGTGACATGAATGAGTTGAAGTTATGAACTGTTTCTGAGAGACAAATAACACCAGGATCCTTTTCTTAGTAGCTGACAGCTGGTAACTGTGCAGGGGCGGTCTAGCAAAGTGTTGCCAGGGGGCGCAGGTAGGGCATTAACAGGGAGAGGGGGCACAAAGAAATACTTTTCTTTCTTATTCTCATTTAAAATGTCTAGCTTTTAAAAAATAATTATCTGAATCTTACAACAAACGATTGATAGATTGATGCATATATACCATCAGAACAGTGAACATCACTGTCACAACAGCGTTTGTTTTCATTCAAAGGCTTTATGATTTTTCCTATAATGGTGGGCCGGTCTCTAGTCAAAATGCCCGGGCTAATTTTCTGTCCCAGTCCAGCCCTGCATGCAGCTCATCTGCAGTCTGGTGTTACCTACATCTTCCTATTCAGAAGGCAGAATTTCCGAGTTCTGAGTACAATCGAAAGCACCACGACTGCAGTTTTTGTGTTGATGTAAAAGGTGCACATGATGCTGTGACGTAGGCTAGAATCATGGCAGCAGTCAATGACGGTCCAGGCGTGGGATTTCTCTCGTGGAAATATGCACATTATCTTTTCCTTTCTGTTGGTAGGTGGCACAGTGCACTGTGGCAAGTAAACAAGCTAGAAGACTGGCAGTCTGGCTGGGTATCCAGTTACAGAAGCAACACATTAACAAGAGAAGTCTGAGTAAAACCAAAGTTACTTTCCCTAGTAACTAGTTACTTTGAAAGTAACGAGTAACTCGAAGTAACTGAGTTACTTTTGATAGAAGTAACTAGTAATGTAACTAAGTTACTAATTTAAAGTAACTTACCCAACACTGGTAGTTACATATATTACATGATATGTGGCAGCCCCCAAGAGTACCAAATACCTGAGGCCACACATCTAGGAGACATCTGTGCGCCTATCCCAGGAGGAGGAGGGAGGACCGAAGTATTGTATATTGTTTTTTGTTATCTCTCTTGTGAAGCACTTTGTGACATCTGTCAGTGAAATGTGCGATATATAAATAAACTTTTACCACGGCCAAAGGTGAGAGGACCAGAGGGGACGGACCAGCCACCCTGGTACCAGTCAAGAGTAACCCTGACCCAGCAAGTTTGGTGTGGAAGATCTTTCTCCCGGCCTGCGCTGACTCTAACCTAGAATTAGACCTGAGACTGTGGCCTCACAAACGCACTTCTAGAAGATTTTCCTTTTACAGATGAGCTGAAGCTGAAGTGAAGAGCATATGTGTGAAAGGCAGACCAGACTTTCGGTTCGTCTTCTCCAAGCCGGTAGGGGGCGGTAATGGCTCAACCCGGTGTTTGAAAACGGCATTTTGAAAAAGCGTCGAAGAAAAGAAAAGACGACGAAGAAGAAAACGTATGCGGAAGTGAGGTAAATATACTCGGACCTTGGCAGTAGTATGGAGAGCCCGGAGCTGTCGTTTACTCTGGCTTACGTCGTCCTCTCCTTCTGTTTCGTGTTCACGCCCAATGAGTTCCGCTCGGCCGGCCTCACCATCCAGAACCTGTTCTCGTCGTGGCTGGGCAGCGAGGACGTGGGCTTCATCCAGTATCACATCAGAAGGACCAGCATCACCATCGTGGTCCACTCCGCGCTGCCTTTAGGTAAACTCGTCACTGTCACACAGGTAGAAGAGCACTCTGTTCCCCGCAATCACGTCGCGCACACAGTGGGTGTTAGAACCAGTGTCACCATTATAACATTTTGGAACCATGGGTAAGAAAAGATTAGAACAGTTTAAATAAGTGAATAATTTGTACTTTAAATCCACGCACAGGTCAGTAATGATGGAGGACACGCCCGTGGGAGCGATAACACTTTGATTTTGAGCTTTTAAATCAGTGCTTGGCAGTAGACACGGGTTTTATATACGAGAGCCCCGAGCAGAGGACAGTCGCGGTGTCGTCTGACCTGGTCTTGGTTTGTTGCTCCGTGGAGGGGCCCTGTGATGTTGGTGTACCTGATAAACATGGAGCAGGTTCGTGTTTGTCTGATATTGTGTCTTCTCTCTGCAGGTTACTACATGGGAATGTGTGTCGCTGCTCCAGAAAAAAACCTGGTTAACATTTACCAGGTGGGTTGGCTGGTGCTCTCTGCCTGCAGCCTGCACGGGGCCACGCCCTCTGTTGTGTACTTAAGGAAACACATTTATGCTGATGTAGATCCTGGAGAACAGGCGGTGCATTTGGAGAGTGAGCTGTGCTATGAGTTTACACTGGCTCATATAAAACATTATCAAAAAAACAAAATCAGTTAAGTAAAAACCCACGACACAGGGCTTTGGAGTCGGTCATTAACTTTTGTCCTTTCAGGTTCGATCTAATGCTCACCACTGTTTTTAAGCAAAGTCGGAGAATGGATCGTTAGCATTCGCAGTACACATTCTTCTTTATCCGTGTTAGCTCACTGGTAATGATGCTGGTGAAAGTCTGACAGAGAAGCAGGCTGACCAGCAGATGGCGGCGCAGCATCTCTGTTATTCATTTAAACCAAAACTCTTCCAAACAGAAGAAACGCCTCCTCTCTGGTTACGAGCTGTTGTGTTGTCATCATCGTCCATCTCTTTTACTGCAACACGTGCCCACGCTCTGCTACAGCGCTTGGGTGAAAGTGATGTAACTGTGCGTGACAAACGGTGCATTTTCCACTGATTGTGTGTTTGATTTCTGCCTTGTTGATCAGAGTAAGCTGTGGTGGGCTGTGGTGGCTGTGGCATGCAGGGCCCACACATGCACACTGTTAAAGGACTGCTTATGCCTACAGCCTTTTAGCCGACTCGTTCCTGGCGCAGCTTCCCCGTCTCTGGGTCCAGCTGCTGTAGCTGGGAAGAAAACCTTATGAGGCATCACATTTCCACGAGGGTTTCATGACTCTGTGGGGTAGAAAAGTTTGAATTTATGCAGGAAATGGCTTTGTTTGCAGAGTAGCACATTTGATGAATTGAAAAAAGAAGACAGTTTTCCCTAATGTAATCTGTAGGAATAACCAGAACACAGGAGCCAATAAGCAAACATGTTGGAGTCATTTTGTTGTTGTCGGCTTTTGTTTGGGTTTAGTGGTGCAAACTCTCTTGATCATGAACCTGAGGCAGTGATCTCTTGTGTTGTTGTTTCTCCAGGTTAGTGACAACTGGAGAGCGTTTCTCCTTCTGTCTCTCTGCCTCCAGTCGGTCAGCTGGATAATTGTCTTCTACTGGTCCCGGCGTCGCTGGCACAATCATCCAATCAGTAAGGTGCTGCAGGCCCATGTGCAGCCCCCTTTCTCCAGCTGGGGCTCTGTGGCAGTCAGCATCAACACTGAGTTCAGACACATAGATAAGTTTGCTACAGGAGCACCGGGAGCTCGAGTCATCGTCACTGACACCTGGGTGTTAAAGGTGAGTGTTAATAAATATGCGTATAGCTTTTCTTCGGCATTATAACTGCACAACTCTAGTTTCACGCACTGCAGAGAAACTCCGAGAAATCCTGATCCTGTGCTTTCCTACGAGTCTCAGTTGTCAGGACAACAGTCCACAGAAAGTCCTATCAGAAAAATGATCCTTACATCATAAACATCTTTTTTTTCAGCCTCTTCTCGCTATCGTCAGAGAGAAACGTGTAAGTGACTGTTTCTGATAGACTGTTGATCATAAATGAAACAAAGCGTCCGTTTGTTTCTGCTTTTATAAAGTCTGTGGTTAAAGGGCTCACAGCTGATGTGAGATCCGTCACAGTCAGGAACCGTTATCACAGACGGACTAGAAGGAACCTTGACCCCGTCCATTGAAAACTGATGATATTTATTATTGCCATTGTTTCCCTGCACTCTTCGTCTCCAAGGCAACCATTTCAGAGACGGGAAAATTGCAGATTGGTTGCACGTTGTCGCGGTAACGCTGTCGCGGTAACGCTGTCGTGGTAACGTTGTCGTGGTAACGCTGTCGTAGTAACGCTGCCGTAGTAACGCTGTCGCGGTAACACTGTCGTGGTAACGCTGTCGTAGTAACGTTGTCGTAGTAACGCTGTCGCGGTAACGTTGTCGCGGTAACGTTGTCGCGGTAACGCTGTCGCGGTAACGCTGTCGTAGTAACGCTGTCGCGGTAACGTTGTCGCGGTAACGCTGCCGTAGTAACGCTGCCGTAGTAACGTTGTCGTAGTAACGTTGTCGCGGTAACGTTGTCGCGGTAACGCTGTCGCAGTAACGCTGTCGTAGTAACGCTGTCGCGGTAACGCTGTCGTCGTAGTAACGCTATCGCTGTAATGTTGTCGTGGTAACGCTGTCGTGGTAACGTTGTCGCGGTAACGCTGTCGCGGTAACGTTGTCGCGGTAACGCTGTCGCGGTAACGCTGTCGCGGTAACGCTGCCGTAGTAACGCTGCCGTGGTGACGCTGTCGTGGTAACGTTGTCGTGGTAACGCTGTCGCGGTAACGCTGTCGTGGTAACGTTGTCGCAGTAACGCTGTCGTCGTAGTAACGCTATCGCTGTAACGCTGTCGCAGTAACGCTGTCGCAGTAACGCTGCCGTAGTAACGTTGTCATGGTAACGCTGTCGCAGTAACGCTGTCACACTTGCGGTCTGACCATGGAAAAGTGATTCTGTGCACGGCGAACAAACAAACGCAGACCTGAGCTACAAGGACACAGAGCGACGGCCGTGGGCTTCCTGTGTGCTGCAATCACTGTGATGATTAACTGACCAACTATACAAATCCATTCTGAGCTTTTCATGTAATAATTTTGGTACATAAATATTTTTAGAGCATCTTCACTGTTTTTCTGTTATCCTGCATCTTAATATGTTTAGTTTTTTTAATGTTGGTTATTTATTGAACAGGGACTTGGTAACTTTGCTGCATTTCAACAAGAATCCAACTGCTGACTTGTGCGCATGAGCTGCAGCTAGACTTTGTCTGCTCAGGCACATCTGACCCTCTTTGTCTGCTTCTAGGTGACCACGTATCACATTTACATGGCCCTGCAGAGCGATTGCCACGTCACAGTGACAGAGTCCACACAGCACCACCTGAGTCCGGATTCAGCCTCACCCACAGAGATCCTGACCCTGAGAGTTGACAGCATTAACCCTGCTGTCACACCATTCAATATCAAGTATGTGTTGTCTCGACAAAACGGCACGTCTCGTGTCAAAGAGAAATCAAATCGTCTTTCCCACTCGTTCCAGGCTCAACTCTACGGAGTACGCAGAGCTCCGGGAGAAGCTCCGGGCTCCCATCAGAAACTCTCCTAATGTGGTGATCCATCGAACGCTCAGTGAACTCTTTTTGGAAACGTTCAAGGCTCAGGTGGACCTCAATCAGCCGTACGCTCTCCCCCACGGACAGGTACACACTGCTGCATTCATCAAATTGTGTCCAGTGCTGAGATGAGTCAGTCAGAAGCATGTGCTGTGTGCGTACACAGGAGTTAGAGCCCTGTATCGGCTGCATGCAGGTTCCAGCAAACGCCAAACTGGTCACGCTTTGCCACGAAGCAGGTAAAACTACGCTGATCGTTTTTTGGGTGGGTTCATATGTGCTCGTGTAACTACGCCTGTGTGATTCCTGTCTGCTACAGAGACCGATGATGACGATTCAGACTGCCAGCAGTGTCACTGCAGACCCATGTGGTGTCTGTTGTGTCTGGGTCGATGGTTCGCCAGCCGTCTAGACGAGCAGACACCGGAGACGTGGTTGTCCAGCAGGGTTCCCTGCCCTACTTGTAGAGCCAAGTTCTGTATTCTGGATGTGTGCGCAGTCCGATGACGGACACACGTCTCCCCCCACACTGACTTTTAATGTTTCCAATGTTGACCAAGGGTTTCTGCTCAACATCCTCCAACCAGAGCGGCACCTGGACTGGATGTGGTCGTGTTCTATTTCTGCTTTTATGGAAACAAAATAAAAACAATTCTATGAGGAATCATTTATTTCATATTTGTATGTTGTTACAGCACCAAATCTTCTCATGAAGGGCCCTTTCTGCATCTTTTCTTATGCAGCGTAGCAACAAATATGAAATAAGTAAACATGAAAGTTTTAGATGGAACATTTATCATGTAAGGGCAAAATTACTGATGTGGAGCGAATGTATGAATATACAGTTTAATAAAGTTTAACTCAACTTGGTTTATATTTTAAATGTTTGTATGAATACCAAATATTGAAAAAGGGTGTAAATAATAAATGTACTGATATGGAAGGAAACCTGGCAGACATGGATGAAAGCTGCTGCCTGCAGTGGATTAAACGATGCCTGGAAACGGGTTGCACATCCAGTCAGTGCCAGGCTTTCATTAAGTATTTGCATATCTGAGGCCCGACACTGAGCTAAAGCCACACTGCATATAACACAAGTTTAGTTCAGTTGTGTGTTCATGATCACTCAGAGTGTATACAGTGAAACCCTCACCGTGATCACCTGACTTTGTTTTTCAAATGTATTTGAGAAAAATAATACAACAGATAAACGACACCATTAATAAATGTCTTCTGTACGTTTGTCCTGCTGTTTCACATTAGCATCGTTTCCTAGCAGGGGGCAGCTTCTTTAGTGTTTAGTGGTACAGACGTCTGTGGATGCTCTTCATCTGTGACACTTTCATAATGAGTTTGCGGTTCTTACTCTAATTTTAAGTCATTCGTAGATCTATAGAAGGATACTTGATTGATCCCATCAGCGTGGGGTCAGATTGTGGTCATAAATATTTTGTACTTGTAAATTAGGATTCATATGTGTAAAATAGATTTGTGTGTGGACTCCATAAAGCACCCCTCCAATAGCCAAACCCACCTGTTCTCTGATTGGATAGTTAAATTTGTGATTGACATGACATTGGCCAATCAGATGAAAGGAAGAAAAACTGGGTCAAAATTCGTACTTGAAACTTGAAACTTGAGTGCAGAGTTTCACACGTATTTTTTGCCTAAGTCCACACACAAATCTTGTTTACACACACAAATCCTAATTTACAAGTACAAAATATTTATGACCACAATTTGAGCCCATACGTCAGTGTCCCCCACATCAACAGGGACCCTCGTGCTTGGGCAGAAACTCGACCTCATCATACTCCACCATGGAGAGCCGAGGGGCGATTCACCGCTGCGTGGTCATAATCCGACTTTCTGAGTGGGAAATTCAAGTTGAAGGAGTGTCAAGATTTCTGACTGGGAACTCACCATTGCCCCGGCGCAGATTTGTAGAAAGGTACAATTCAAGCTTTTGACAGCGACCTCTGTGTGTGGACCCTGATGGGCTGCGGAGCTTCTGACTATGGACGCGCTACCATCCACATTTGCACATGGACAAAGATTTTATTTACAGAAGAAGACGTCTTCATTTATCAGATTTTTTTTTATTCAGAACTATTTATGTTGCACAGCTGTTCCTGACAGACTGAAAGTGAAAAATCACAGAGTCCATGAAAACTAAACGATTGACTCCGATGTCAGCGTCGTGTTTTATAAGGTTTGTGTGGGACACAGAAGACGTTCACAGTGGGCTGGTGTATTCTTGAATTTGTTCTTAAACCTTTCTCTTGTTAAGTGCTGCATCACTCTTATTCACAAATAAACTGAAGTGGTTCTTTAGGATAGCACCGGCTGCCAACACTACAGATAAAAACCAAAGAGGAGGAGCTGTGACAGAATATGTACGGAGCCCCGCAGGGGACATGGGAGGAAAAAAATTAAGACGGACTTTTGCGAGATCTCGCAAAAGTTGAATTCCAACAATGGCGGCAGCTACTTAGTTGTAATATCACTCTTTCTGCGTCACAAAATACACTTTTAAGATATTTTGAGGCGTGAATGTAGTTGTGTAAACATCAGATATCTGCTCGGTTTACAAGACATCACATATTTGCAAAAGTGCTCCGACGTTTTCAGAGATGTATGAAACTTTTGCGAGATCCCGAGTTAGTTTTGCGAGATCTCAAAAGTCCGTCTTAATTTTTTTTCTCCCATGTCCCCTGCAGGGCTCCGTAAATATGGGACAGAAAAATGAATGTAAGAACACTTCAGTGGGGTTGGAATATATCATTTATTTATTGAAGGTATTTATTTTAATTCCAAATCTGTATGGCCTTTCATTCATACTTTCTCTCACCTTAGGATTTGTACCTTAGTTTTAGCATCGTTCACATTTAATGTTGAATTCATACAAGAAATCAAGATGTTTAGTAATGTTGCTTAAATTGATATACAGAACAGAGAGTAGCAAAAAAAAACCTAGATTTATGTAAACTTTGTCATATTATTGGTTAAATATTTAGGTAACTGCCATGTCGGGTAAATTAAGCAAAGTTAGGATGATCATTGTTCACATACTTGTAAACACTACTATCTATTATTAATTCTTAGTTGTCATCCTGATCATCCTTCTGTCCACCAGGAAACATTATCAGCTATTTCTCAGGAAATCTAAATTGAATCTGAATGACATGAGCCTCTTTGTTTTTACAGTAAATGCTACTGTTTCATGCTTTTTTCGTTCTACACAGTGCAACAGTAGAGTGTGGCCTGAGGCTGGCTGTGTGATCGTGCAGTGGGAGGAGGTGATTCTGGTAGCAGTAGTCTCAAAACATCAAACATCCTCGGGCATTCTTCCAACCTGCCAAAATAAAATCATTTCAGTTAATAAAGGAATGCGTTTATTGTGTGTGCTGCATGAGGAAGCATGCGATGAGGAAAGCGTTCATTTAGATCTAAACCTATGCAGGACAAAAAGTGATTGTGAATGGAAGAGAAGACGAGAAGATGATCTTCAATCCGATATTATTTATACAGCGCCAACTCATAACAACAGTCACCTCCGTACTGTAAGGTAGACCCTACAATAACACATGCAGAGGAAAACTCAACAATCATACGACCCCCTATGGAAGAAACCTCCGGCAGAACCAGGCTCAGCGAGGGGCGGGGCCATCTGCCATCAGCTGGGCAGTGTTATTATTTTTCATGTAGCAACAAAATGACCTTCTTCTGATACTCAGAGTGAAAAGTTGCAGAGAATCATTGCTTAACTAAACTGTCACAGAATAATCTAAGTGTATTAGTATTTACATGGTAACTGGACTGATGGCTCTGCACTTTTCTGCTCTCCTGGAGGACTCAGCGCGCTCTATGCAACACGCCACCTTCACCCAGTCACACCAGCACTTTCTTCTTTCAGTGCTGTTTAGCTAACATTCACGATGGATGCATCAGAGAGCAACTGGGGGGTAGTATCTTCCCCAAGCATATTTGGCATGCAGATTAGTGGGAGCCCAAACCAATTAAGGTGGTTCAGGGATCTGACAAGGATGCCTCCTGGGCGCCTCCTGGGTGAGGTGTTCTGGGCATGTCCCACCAGGAGGAGGCCCCAGGGCCCATATTTGACATGTTTTGATGCATCTATCCCTGTTACAGGTTTCATGCCTCACATCTCTGATGTCGTCATGTTTACACTTTCATGAAGTATGTCAAATGTGAGACAGACTGGACAGTGTACATCCACGCGCCAGTATTATGTCACATTAATAGTACCACCCAGTGGCAACATGCCATCAACAGTAGGTGATAAACATCCACTATACAGAACTTTTTCCGAGTGATGTGAAACACACAAACATATAAACACTGTGTTTTGTTGTGTATTATAGAAGCTAGATTCAACACGGACACAGACTTCTGCTCCCAGCTTTAGGAGGGTTTACGAGATATTCCACAGACCTTCAGCATTTATGACTTTCTGTCCACCATCTTGGTTTTGAGTAAAACAAACTACCCATGAGTGGCCAATAGTAAGCAGAGATGAAGGACTGGCGTCCACTGTGCTGGCTGATATGCAGCTATAACAAAAAAACGCATGCATAGCAACCACTATAAAATCTGATGCTTACTGAGAGTCTGGCAAATATTAGGCCACCCTCATAGTGCCGCCAAGTAACAACAGGAAATCAGCATTAGGTAACAAACATCATGTGATCTACATGAAACCTTATCGATATTTATAAATACTGATACAGTGAGAAAATATTGTTAATTTTACTTCTGTCTCCTCAAAACTATTTGTTAGAAAGTAAATAACAACCTTGTAGTTAGAATTATTCAGTGATTTTATGAAGCTGTTGTAAACATTCTCCCAGCAACAGAAACAAAGATGCAGCCAAATTACACACACCTGAGAAGGTTAATGGTAGTGTGTGTATAACCAGCCTCACCCACAGTAGTACAAAGTGGCCTCTTCAGTCAATGTGTAATGTTTTGTGCTCTCTGCTTTTCATATATGGATACAGATACAGCATGGTGCAGGTACAGAGGCTTCACCATTGAAGCGGTTGCTTGATGGTTTCCAGTTTATTAGGTTTGTCCTGTATGATGAGTGACCCGCAAACTGGCCTACCATTGGAGGGCTGCCACTGCAGGCTCTTTGTTGCATACAAACAAAGCTTTTTATTTTATATTTTTAAGATATGAAACGGCACAGCGGCAGTTCAAACCTGTTTTTGTTCAGTCTTCTTTGTCCTGAGTATGTGCGACCTTAGAGCCAATGAAACAAAAAGGTTTTTTCCTGCTAAACGTGTATACAGACTCAGAGGCTCTACACACACACACACACACACACACACACACACACACACAACACAGACACACACACACACACACACACACAGAACAAACACACACACACACAGACACACAGACACCACACACACACACACACACACACACACACACAGACACACACACAAACACACACACACACACACAGACACACACACAAACACAAACACACACAACACACACAACACACACAGACACAGATACTACAGACCAGCAGACTCAGTACACTCAGTCAGTCACACACACACACACACACACACACACACACACACACACACACACACACACACACAGACACAGACACAGACACACACACACACACACAGACGCACGACACACACACACACACAGCACACACACACACACCACACCCTACCCCCTACCCTGTCTTTCCACCAGCTGCTGCTGTCTGACAAGCTGATGATGACTGTGTTTTTTCCCCTCCTTGTTTCAAAGTATGTTGGAGCAGATGGCCCGGAGAGGCAGAGCACGGGAATGTGTTAGAGAGACTGCTGGGGAATGTGCCAAGTGTGTGTGTGTGTGTGTATGTGTGTGTGTGTGTGTGTGTGTTGTTGTGTGTGGTGTGTGTGTGTGGTGTGTGTGTGTTTGGGTGTGGTGTGAGTTGTGCGTGGTCCGTTTCTCATACCCTCTGTCCCTTTATGGCGCCAGCTTTACTTCCCCTTCACTCTAAACATCTGGTGTCTGGGGTTCAGAACACGCACATGTGAGACACACACACACACACACACACACATCACACACACACACACACACACACACACAACAACACACACCCAGCAGACAAAGCAGCACAAAAAAGCTAGCCAGCAGGGAAAAAGCTCTAAACTCGTTTACATCTAAAAGAGCAACGTGACTCGATTAGTGTGAAGTGCAGAAGTAAGAGTCCACCGACTCTGTGGTTCAACAAAAATGTGTAACGCTACGCAACATGTAAATAAAAAGTGCAACACCTTTCATACAAAATACAAAGTTCACATTTATTTTAAAGGGTTAAAGTTTTTGAATTGATACGTTCAGCACGTGTCAGCATCAGCTCTGCTCTGTGAGCTCTGGAGAACTAAGGAGGACGTTTGAAAGCAGATATTTGACGGGCACATTTCAGTTGCTCAATAGTTGGACGCCATCTTTGTCCTACTTTTTCTTTGATACTGTTCAAAGGTTCAATATATCTGCATATAAAATAGACAAAGTATGCAATGCTTTTGTTAAATGTCTTGAATTAAAGGTGAAATTCTGAACTTTCTACACATTTTGATTGTTTGATTTAAACTTAGTTGTGTTGGTCTACAGAAGCAAAATGACCAAGTCCAAACACTTATGGCCTGACTGTATAAATGCACAGCAGCCCTCTGGATTTGTTTCAGGAAGGGTGTGAAAACACTGACAAATCAAACCCTTGTGAAAAGGAAGCAGCCAAAGTAGCTTTAAGTTACTTCTAAAATATTTCTGTGTTTCAAACTTTTTATTCTCTTGCTAATTATGTCTGAGCACTCAATGTCACAACCACTGTACTCCTCCAATCACAGGACTATATGAGGACTAAGATTACTTCACTTTTTATACATTTTTCCAATTTGGTTTTATTTATACAGCACATCAACAGTGACCTCGAGGCACTTTATATTGGAACCCAATAATAAATAACAGAAAACAGAGAAAATCTCCAAACTCAGATGACCCCCTATGAGCAGCGGTTTCCTCCCTTTTAACAGGACGAAACAGGCTGATGGAGGCGGAGTCATCTGGCACGACCGGCTGGGAGTAGGGGGAGGAATACACGGTAATGTAGATTTTACACCATCTACTAAAGTCCCCTGTGCACCAACACAGTCAAACCTGGATCAAACAATGATGTGATGGAAGTTCAGACTTTTATCTTCAATTTGAGAAATTCAATTCAAATGTATTTACACACATCAACAGTCGCCTCAAGGCGCTTTACACTGTAAGGTACACCCTACACTAATACAAAGGAAACCCCAACAATCATATGACCCCCTATGAGCAGCACTTTGGCGACAGTGGGAAGGAAAAACTCCCTTTTAACAGGAAGAAACCTCCAGCAGAACCAGGCTCAGGGAGGGGCGGGGCCATCTGCCGCGACCGGTTGGGGTGAGAGAAAGAAGACAGGATAAAGACATGCTGTGGAAGAGAGACAGAGGTTAATAATAACCAATAATTAAGTGAAGAGTGGTGTATACACATGGTGAGGAACAAACACTCAGTGGATGATCTGAAAATCCGCTGAGTGTGTTCCCATTCTGGGAAGCCCCAGCAGCCTGGTCCAGCCCTAACTATATGCTTTAGCAAAAAGGAAAGTTTGAATCTTGAAAGTAGAGATAGTGTCTGTCTCCTGAATCCAAACTGGAAGCTGGTTCCACAGAAGAGGGGCCTGAAAACTGAAGGCTCTGCCTCCCATTCTACTTTTAAATACTCTAGGAACAACAAGTAGGCCTGCAGAGCGAGAGCGAAGTGCTCTAATAGGGTGATATGGTACTACAAGCTCATTAAGATAAGATGGGGCCTGATTATTTAAGACCTTTAAGTTTCAGGGAGTTTTTAGGACTTCCTGATAATTATGGCTCAAGAGTTGGGAGTTCGCCTTGTAATCGGAAGGTTGCTGGTTCGAGCCCCGGCTTGGACAGTCTCGGTCGTTGTGTCCTTGGGCAAGACACTTCACCTGTTGCCTACTGGTGGTGGTCAGAGGGCCCGGTGGCGCCAGTGTCCGGCAGCCTCGCCTCTGTCAGTGCGCCCCAGGGTGGCTGTGGCTACAATGTAGCTGCCATCACCAGTGTGTGAATGTGTGTGTGGATGGATGTGTAAAGCGCTTTGGGGTCCTTAGGGACGAGTAAAGCACTGTACAAATACAGGCCATTTACCATTTAGTTTCTCAGCATCATACATGTCATGTCTTAAAAATATCACTTAAAAAGCTTATGTGTATTTTATGTGTTTGTATTGAAACAAACATCTGGAGCCTGCTGCTTCTGTCTGGCAGCCTTAAACAGTTCATGCAGTACTTTTATTAGATCCCCTAAAACCCTCTTACACTGTGTCTGCTCGCGGACCACCACAAACCAAACAAAAGCAATTGAAGTATAAAAAACACAAAGAAAGAAGAACTGAATAAAGAAATGTAAAAAATATTGGACCCCATGGAGAATGCAAAACACAAACTGGGAGACAGAACTGAGTGACATGGAGCGCTGATGTAAAAACACCTGAGGAGTAGAAACAGGTGAAAAGAATCGTCTCTGCAGCCTAAGCCTACAGCAGCATAACACATGAATGATTAGTTATACTGCTAACTATTGGCTTTAATAAGGAAAGTCATTAGCCAGTCAGCAGAGTGGGTGTCGTCTCCTGAGTCCACACTGGTGGCTCGGTCCACAGCAGCCTGACAGCTACAGTTCTACCAACCTGATTCTCTAAATGTTGGGATGCTGTCTCAAACATATATAAGAACAGAATGCGATGGTTTGCAAATCTCATGACCCCATATTTTACAGAAAACTGTTAAATAAACTGTTTAAATTGAGACATTTTACTATTTCCTAAAAAATGAGCTCACTTTGATGGAAGCATGTTTTAGAAGCTCAGGAGCTCAGGAGGTAGACTGTGTCATCTAATTGGAAGCTTGCTGTTCCAGTGTGCATGCCAAATATCCTGGAGCAGAATACTAACCCTAATCTGGGTTATGGGTAAATGTTAGACAGAAAGCACTTAGGAAAAAGTGCTAGCTTGAGCAGGTGAATGAGGCACATTATACAAAGTCACGTGAGTGCTCAGGCAGAGCAGAAAGATGCTAAGAACCAGTGCAAAAGCTGCAACGGGAGGAACAAAGTAAGTGGTGCGACAAGAAACAGCTGGAGGAACATTTAGCAGCTAACCAGATTAACTGGCAACAGGTAAGTTACATAAGGCTGAGAGTCAGTCCTGGATGACGTCATGGACGTCTCTGTGAACACGCAGCAAACGCTCATGCAAACGAGCGACATGTGAACATGATGCAGAAAGGCTGCTGTCCTCGTTTGACCACAGCTCATTAAAACTGTTCTGCAGCCCTCGTTTAAAAGTCTTCATCTATGATGGAAAAGCACCATCGAAGCTGGAAGGCAGATACAGGTTTTAGACCAACGCGTGCTCCCATGTAGCCTAAAACAAACAGAGTGAAGCTGTTCAGCAGCAAACTGTTCTACACAGCTTTGAGTTTTAGTCTCGCTTATCTTTCTTGATGCTTCTCTACAGTAAGCTGAGAGAAAACGTTTGAGTGCGCGTCCTGCTCCTGTCAGCAATCAAACACTCTTCAACAACATCTCCAAACGTTCTCTGAGAAGCGTTGCTGCCATCAAACACTTTTCTTAAACTGGCACATTTTCTCACGTTTCACCTGCTTTCTGTGTTGTAAAATGTGAGTTTATGACAGTTGTTCCAAAACGTTCACGAACTTTTGGAAACTACAGGAAGCAAAGTTAGCCTGCAATGTGCTGTTCTGGGATAACGTGGTACTGTGGTATCTTTAACATATGATGGGGCCCAATCATTCAAGAACGTGTGTGATAAAAGTTAACTGTAAATGCATGTTTATGGGAGTTCCACCTCACCTTCCTCTTCTTGCTCCTTCCCTCGGCCTGCAGGGTCCGTGTGCACTGTTCAACACACTGAGAGAAGCTCACGCTGCTGTGATCTGAACTGTAGTCCAGCTCCGCGAGCTGAGCCAGAGACAGGATGTAATTGCAGGCTATACGTAGGATCGCCAGCTTGGAGAGCTTCTGCCCGTACGAGTAACACGGCACCTAGAGCACGGTCCGTGGTTGGAGGAAGGAAAAGAGAAGGAAATGATTCTCCTTTAGCTTCTTCTCGTTTGTCTAAAGTGTTGTGCTGTTTTCAAAGAGAAACATATGGACTTATACTCTATTACTGTTGTTAGTGCATCACGTATTAGCTCATCACGTGGTACCAAAGACAAAACCACATTTTGATTAAGTCTTTGAGGTTTAAGGAAACCATGATTTCACACTTCCAAACCTTTTCACCATTAATGGAAGTGAGTAATATCAATCTCCACATATGACCTCACAATGCAGAGAGTGGAGCCTCCAGAGGGACAGAGATAAGTAGTGTAGTTAAGGTGTTTACGCCGTTACACAGCTACACTGAAACAACTGCTACACGTGTTGTAATGTATTGTGAAATAGATTCAGAGATATACACGGATAAGCTTTACTTTACAAACTGAAGACATCAAATATATGAAGCAGGACATATGGAATCATGTAACTAAAGAAATAAGTCTAAATATGTCTTATATTTGAGCCGCGCTTCGCTTTGTCCACAGTGCTTAGTCTTCTCTCAGTGAGCTTCATGAAACAGCCACCTGACATGATTCACCTCACAGGTGAGCCTGTCGGGGTTCACCTGTGGAGTTGGGACCATCAGGTGTGTTGGCAGCAGTCAGGTTGGTGCACAGCTGACAGCCTGTTTGACAACTGTTAGAATTCATATTATGGTAAGAACCAATCAGCTAAGTAAAGAGAAACAACATCAAGAGCTATGATGAAACTGACTCCGCAGCTCTGGGAACCCCATCAGACTGCTGGAAACCATTCCAGGCGACGACCTCGTGAAGCTCATGGAGAGGATGCAGAGAGTGAGCAGGAATCACAGCAAAGGCTGGATATGAGGAAGAATCTGAAATCTAAAACATGTTTGCAGAGATTTCACAGCTTTTGGGTTTAATGCATAATTCCACATGTGTTGATGCCTTCAGTGAGAATCTACAATGCAAACAAACAAAGTGCAAACAAAGGCTGAGGAAAACTTTAGGATGGTGGACAGACAGTCACTCATCTACCCAGGTTTTCATCCTCTCAGCGTAGGAGTCGGTGCGACACCTTCAGAGTTTCTTTTTAGGGAGATGATGTGTGTCTCTCAGAAGATGAACCTGGCTGTCAACCAGCCATCAGAAAACATATATTTGTACATAGAGGGACATTATAAAGTGTGAATCTGACCTGTTTCCTCAGAGCCTCGAATGCAGCACTGATGGTATGGACACGGGTCCTCTCCCTGGCGTTTGCTAGCAGCCTCCTGGTCTGCTGGATGGCTTTGACTTCTGGAAGATGCCCAGATCCATCAGGACTCAAGCCAATCCGCTTCCTCAGAGACTCCTGGTGAAACACGGGCCATGGGGTTAGGCCTGGAGTTAGCACACTATCACTGAGCTTACCCTCTAGGATGCATTTCCTACTTACTCTGGCAGCAACCTTTGGATTGTGGACTATCTTAAACACTGACGTGCAGACGTTTTTTCCTTTTATTTGATTCCTTATCAATCAATTAAATATATATTCAATTCTTCCAGGAGTCCTCTTAATCTATAAAAGGTGAGAATTTTTGTGAAATCATAAATGGCTTTTAAGTCTGACAATTTAACCCTAAGAACATGATGTGGAGAAGTTAGTCGATGACTTGATTGGCCACATTTCATTGGACAAGTTTCAGTTGATTGGACAATTAATGAGGTAATTTGCTTCAGTTCACTGAGGGTTGCAAACATTATGCACAGCTCTCCCAAGGTCCCACCACAGCATTTCACTTCAGTGTAGCTCAGGAGGTAGAGCAGGTCATCGACTGATCAAAACTTTGGTGATTCAGCCCAGCCTACATGCCAAACGTCCTTGGGTAAGGTTGTAGTTGGTGGTTCACACATTGTTTCTGTGTTTTGGCTTATTTTGAGGTCAGATGAAAAATACCCCTTTTGGTTTATCCGTGGCTGCATTTAAATCGTTTTAAACCAGCTAAAGACCAGAGGACTGTTTATTATTTACTGGCAATTAAAACCTTTGAATTTAAAGAGGGTGTACATTCTTTTATACACGATTATATGTGAAAGGACATATTCACCTTGTGCGAAGGGACCTGTGGATCCATATGTTCGTGACACTCGGAGGACTGTGAGACTCTGGCGGCAGACTGGCCGGGAGGCGCCTCTAAGGAAAACACCTGGTGACTGGCTGAGTTGCAGGTTGATGTTGAAGGAGGGAATATCGACTGAAGGCCCAGTTTTAGTCTGCTGGACAGAGGCTGGGAGATGGAGGTGGGCCAGTGGGAGATCTCTGGGTTAGAGAATGAGGAGGTGGGCACCTGGGAAACTTTGGAAGCATCAACAGGCACATTACTGCCAATTCTCATATCTATGGCACCACCACTCTGAGCTGCAGCCATGTCTTCTTTTAATCCTGACAGAATCCCCGTGGTACTGGCCATCGGCTCTTGTGACATCATCAGGTGTCTCTTGAGTGGAGCCAGCTTGTGGACATTATGCGACTCCATATGGGCGTCATCTACCCAGTCTGCATCAGTCACGTCAACTGTGTAGGTGTTCATCCTGTCGGGCTCGGGGCCATTGAAAAACCTTTTAGGTTCGCGGGACTTCCTCTTGAACTTCTTGTTAGTGCTAGGCACAGAGACCTGCTGTGGGTCTTTGTTATCAGGTCTGTTCCACATATTACTCAGAGGAAGGGGATTCTTCATTTTGCAACAGTTAGGGTAACAAACAGATAACGTAAAATCGGATTTGAACACAAAAAACGGTGATATTTGGAAATGTACATGAACTACAAAATCTTAAAAGTTGTCCAGTAAATCATTTCAGTTCTTTCACTGTGTAGGAGCGAGCATCAGCTGAGCCTTCACCTCCTGGAAGAATGTGTTTCACTACTGCACAAAAAAGACTTTTGGTCCCAGTGTTTCATTCAGGAATACACCGTTAGCTTATTTCATTGTACGGACAACTGCACAATCGTGTGCATTACTTCAGTTTTACAAGCAGGTTTTCTGTGGCTCCACTCTGTCTTCATAGCAGTCTCCTGAATAATCCACGTTAGTACATAAAGCTGTGTAACATCTGCTGCTCAGTACAAGTTGTCCCTCTGGATGGAGAAGTGCAGAGCTGTAAAGGTTTCTTTCTGTGAATGCACTCCAGGCCTTCGCCTCAGAATTGGGGTTACAGTGGAACTGTCTGAGCGTGGCTCCAGTCAGTCTGCATAGCAGCACCGTGAATAACCCACACTGATACACACACTGAGCACAGATACGCTGGAGTGCAACTGCTGGACATAAAAATGAGAACAGCACATGAAGAAAGCAGCAGCTCTTCAGGAGCACAATCACACTTCCATACGCTATAAAACCACTTATTTACACTTTGCAAAGCAGCCGGGGGAGCAGACTCTCGTTAGAGTTGCAGGATTTAAAGAAGAACTTTACATACTCTGCGTAAGTGTCAGCATGGTACCGGACACAGTCACACGGTAGTTTCCAAACACCTCAAACTTCCCTGAAGGAGTGTCAGCAGCAGTTGCGGTGATACCCCCGGGATCGATCCATCCCTCGGCGAACTTCTGGGCCCTTCTTAAGGAAAGCTCCGGTGAGCTGAGGTTGAAACTCGGTGCGCTGTAGGCAGTGGCGTCGATCAGTGATTTGCTCTCCCGGCGTTAAAAACGGAGAACTACTTCACTGCCTGGACTCGCTCAGTTGTCACCGCACACATCGCTCTGGTCCTCCGCGTCCTCCTGCTTCACTGCACGCGAATACAACCTCGCGCTCCTCCAGCTCCAGTCGCTGGCGTCTGACTGGCTGGAGCCCCCCCTCCCCTCCGCGCGCGTGCACACGCACACACGCACGCGAGGAAGGATTTGCACATTGGTTTGTTGACGTTTTGTTTTTTAACCACAACTTCGCTGTTGTAGCAGGACATCCGCGACGAAACAGATCAACGGTGCCATACGCTGGCACGAGACTCACGAGCTGAGGCGCATGTGCTCGTACGACGCTGCGAAACTTACAGTAAAAACAAATCTGCGGACGGTGTTTCAGTGTACCTGTGACTGGGATGAGACACTTCATCTTCCCCCGTGTAACTTGCTCGGTGCCAGCATTGAGGGGTAGGGGCGCCGTGAAAAAACGTGGATACCGCAAACCATGACAGCCCTAAAAGTAGAAATGGATCAATATCCTACTTAGGTAAGTAGATATTTTTGCAGGGGTATATGATGATAACATTATTAGATTTTTTTTTACATTGATTGGTACCAAATACAAAAAAATACGTTAACTTTTTGGAAATGTCATCTATAAAAAGTATTTTTATGGCTTAAACATTTTTATTTGTAACATTAAGTATTGATAAATATTACTTAAATATTTTTTCAAGCAAAGTATAGCCAACTAAAACAATCTGTCATAGGCAGTGTGCAAAATATAATAGACACCTTTCCAAAAATGCTCTGTTTATGTGAGTTATAATGAATTATTATTACAAAATACATGGAAAAAAAAATCTGTCAAGGCAAATGGCAGGACTCAAACTCAACCTGCGTTTATTTACAGAACCCCGATTCTGTACATACAGTAGTGAGAGGAAGGGGGCGCCGAGGGATCCAGGGAAAGGGAAGCAAACTCTTCTGTTCACAGAGCCGGTCACTCGCACGTCCCAGATCAAACTCCATGCTGACGCTCCTCACAAACACCCAACAAGGGTCCAAGGTGAACAGCAGGAATCCGACTCAGCCGCCACCTTAAGTGGTGACCGATCAGATGAAGATGATGCGCAGCAGGTGAGTTGATTGTCAGCAGGTACGTAGGAACCCGAGAGAAGTACTGTCCAGGCAGGGAGGAGTGCAGAGAAAAGAGACACACACAATAACAAGCAGTGACAGGTCACCACAGAGGACTGCAGGACCAAGACAATTTCCCAAGGAACCTCCTGCAATTAGACACATTTTTGGCAAAAGATTTTACTTCTTAAGAAATCAGTGGTGCTGGTTCAGTGTCAGGAGTGTGGGTCTGAGGGGATGGGAGTGGGACAGCTGCCTAAGCCAGAGATTAGATCAGTATAGGTCTTAAATAATCAGGCCCCATCTGATCTTAATGACCTTGTAGTACCATATCACCCTATTAGAGCACTTCGCTCTCGCTCTGCAGGCCTACTTGTTGTTCCTAGAGTATTTAAAGTAGAATGGGAGGCAGAGCCTTCAGTTTTCAGGCCCCTCTTCTGTGGAACCAGCTTCCAGTTTGGATTCAGGAGACAGACACTATCTCTACTTTCAAGATTAGGCTTCAAACTTCCCTTTTTGCTAAAGCATATAGTTAGGGCTGGACCAGGTGACCCTGAATCCTCCCTTAGTTATGCTGCAATAGACGTAGGCGGCCGGGGGATTCCCATGATGCATTGAGTTTTTCCTTTCCAGTCACCTTTCTCACTCACTATGTGTTAACAGACCTCTCTGCATTGAACCATATCTGTTATTAACCTCTGTCTCTCTTCCACAGCATGTCTTTATCCTGTCTTCCTTCTCTCACCCCAACCGGTCGCAGCAGATGGCCGCCCCTCCCTGAGCCTGGTTCTGCCGGAGGTTTCTTCCTGTTAAAAGGGAGTTTTTCCTTCCCACTGTCGCCAAAGTGCTTGCTCATAAGGGGTCATATGATTGTTGGGTTTTTCTCTGTATCTATGAAGCGCCTTGAGGCGACTTATGTTGTGATTTGGCGCTATATAAATAAAATTGAATTGAATTATAGCATGGAAGCACGTTGGCACATAAGTGATGTAATACATATCGTTAGCTTCATAGCATAAGTGCCTAAGTCATTTTTTGGTCAAATTGAGATTTTTGCCTAACTTTACTCCCCTACCACTGCTGCATCATCCTGTCCGTCTGAAAAAAAAAACACAAAAAAATGACTTAGGCACTTATGCTATGAAGCTAACGATATATGTATTACATTTCACATTTGTAATTGGTGCAGGCAGGTGCATGTTGGCTAAAATAACAGAAACACATTATTTTCTGTTAGAACTGAAGTAAACTAACTAATATTAAGAAAGTCAAGCAGTTTCTCTCATGTGGACTTTGGTATAAGTTTCATTTCCATCTGTCTGTCTTTCTTTTGTGAAACATCAGCTCTCAGCATCACCTTGGAGCACGTGCACCTGAAAGAAACCAAACCAGTCTTTGTTGGCAAAAACAAAACAACACTAATGCCATGAAACAAACACGTTTATAAGTACCTTATGAAGCAAACGTTGATGGTGACATGTTAATACTTTCTGTCCCTGTCAGTCATGGGACCTTAGATTCATCACTTTTCTCCCCCTTAGGGCGCTTCTGAGCAGGGGTGGGTACATGAGAAACTGGGAGGGCCACACCAGTAAGCTGAACTCTTATCTCTTCAGATCCTACAATTAACAGTACAGATGTTGCAATCAGGCAATGAAAATGTGAAATAGGCATAGTGAAAACACTAACATGAGAAACCACGACTGAGGAAAAGCAACAAGCAGAAGAGATTTGTCCGGATCAAGAAACACGAGGAGTGGACATTAGACCATCTGTGCTTTGGTCTGATGATGTCACAGTTCTGGGTCATTGTGACCCAGCATTTTGAGTTCTTGTGTTTTGGTAACATGTTATATTATGGTTTTTGTTCTGAGTCCTTGGTTGTGCCCTTTGGATTATTGTGATTTAGCTTTCAGGTTTAGTTGTGCGCGTGTGTTTATTGTCTTGTTCCCCAGTCAGTCATGTCTCATGTAACTCTGGTTCCTGGACTCTGTGTTCCCTCTGTTCTCTGTCAGTGTTGCATCTCTGAGTTCTGTCAGTTTATTTCCTGTTTTACATTGAAGGTCTTGTCTCATGTTAGTGTATTCTGTTTTACTTCCTTGTCTTGCCCAGTTACTCCCAGCTGTGCTCTCCCTCTGTGTTTCGTTCCCTCGTTATCCCTCTGTGTCTTTAAGCCTTGTCTCCGCCTCTGTTAGTTGCTGGTTCGTCTGCATGTCTTCCTGCCGTGTGTCTCTCCAGGTTCCACGTCTCAGGTTTTTGTTCCTTGCATTATTATTTTGTAGCTGTTCCCAGTTTAGGTTTTTGTTAGCGTAGTTCCCTGCGATGCTTTGATTTGAAAAAAAAAAACACCTCTGCACATGAAAAACCTCTTAATACACCAAAGAAACACATGACAGGCAACAGGGGGGTAAAGGTGAGAGACAGCCGATTTAGACAGCACATCCGGGCCTGCGTGCGCTGGTCTCATTGATCCACCGTCAAGGGAATAAGCGTCGAAGGCGTTTGGAAAGGGAGGGGGGATGAGTGTGTGCATATCAGGGTATATGTATGTGTGTGTGTCCAGAGTTCAGCTGAGACAGTGTCCTTCGCCCTGCCAGGCTAAGTAAACAGTCTTCCAGCCAACCCAGGTGGCCTTGCATGAAATGGGAAGGGAACAGCTCATATGAATTTCAAAGCAGTTCTACAGTCCAACACTGGTCTCTCAATCTCCCGTTGGAGAGCCGCGAGCTTCGCCATACTTGCGCTCTGTGATGTTGTCATTCTTGTGCTCAAGGAGCCGATTCTGAGAACTCACGACAGTGAGCCTCCCCGAGATGTCATCCAATTTGCGCTCAGAGATGTTATTCCGAGCGAGCCCTTCCGAGATGTATCCAGTCTGCAGTCAGAGATCTTATTCTGAGTATTCACAGCAGCCGTAGCCTCTCCAAGATCTTATCCGTGCTGACTCAATGAGCCCATTTTGAGAAACTCACGCCTCTCCCATCGTTCCAATCCCAGCGGGCAGCCTTGTGGGGGTTTGAACAGCCGGTTCCGCTTTCTCAAGCCAGCTCCGATCAGCCAGAACCCTGTTACCATGGTTCCGAATAGGTAGATATCTTCAGCACTCAGGCTCACCCGAGCCCAAACTTCTGTTGAGAAATTGCATTTAGGGACCAGTTTTCAACAGGACAATGACCCCAAACACACCTCCAGGCTGTGTACTAGAAGAAGTATACTAGATGGCGGCGCGCACAGACGCAGCGGCTCTATGCTCTCCACTTGGGTGCCTTTCTTTTTTGTTTCTCCACTTTTTCTTCTTCTTTTGTTTTCCTTATTGTGAAGCCAAATTTTCCTACAACCATCTGGAATTATGCAAGATCGGATATAACAGCCAGATCCCCATTACCAGTGATTATCAGAGGGTGCACAACATCCCCCCGGAGATAGCGAGAACATCGGGTGCTCCGTGGATTGTTATCGGCTCTGCCAAGAAACGCAGGCGGCGGAAGGAGCGCAAACAAAAGCGGGGATGCCTGTCGGGCCTGCTGGCCAGGCTAAAGAAGCAGCCTTTCAAACCACCGCTCCCGAGCATCTTTCTGACCAGCGCACGGTCGTCGTCAACAAATAGACGAACTGAACCTACTTCTCGCCGCACAGCCAATCGTCCGTGACTGCTGTGTCCTGGTCGTCACGGAGACATGGCTCACTCCGCGAGGCTCCTGCCTACGACAGCCGTAACGCTCCGACAATCCATCAAGCGGTGGTAGCTTAGCAAAGTCGTACTGAAACATCTGACAGATTTTCGAGCGCCGTGCACATGAAATCGTTTCGAGGTCAGTAAACACAACCAGAGTTCATACATAAGGCACACGGGGTTATAAGGGGCTCTGTCAACTGTCAGAAAAATCAAAGGATTGATTTTAAGTGTGCCGAAAGCTAAACCAGTTCCACACCAGTGAAGCTGCAGCGTTTTTACAAACCAGTTCAGGTTCATCTGTTTCATTCAACGATCTTCTTTCGCCCTTCTCGTTCTGCGTCATCATCCAATTCCACCTGTGATCTTGTCACCATTGCTCTCTGAGCTTTGTGTTGCTTCTTCTGTCATCAGTAAAGTTTGTAGGCTGAGTGCATTTTTAAAACAAGTTGTGCAAACTGCACTACAAGGTGGAATATTTGCAAAATCATGACTATGACCTATGAATACGTCAGTGCCATTAAGATGAAATTATTGTGTCACCAACATTTTAACATTAGACATAATTCTAACAGTCTCTGTAAACTAATATCCTGGCTGCTCGAGGCTCCGTTTTCTCTGACAGCTTCACTTAGATTAGAAGTAGAAACGCTGCTCTGAGACTGAGAGAACTAACAGTGCTGCCTGCTGTGCAGTTAGTTTCCCAAACACGTTATTCATGGTTACATACAGTTTTAGACTGCTGTGGGCCAAAGCCTAGCAGAGCCTGGAACGTTATTGTGACGGACACATTTTATGTGTCAGACCCAGGACCCTGAGCAGTTATGGACTAATATTATAATGTATGTATTTTGTATGTATGTTTTGTATGTATGTATTTTGTATTGCTGTCCCTCGTTCTCCCTGCTTGTAGACGTGTGTGTGACCCTGGCAGGTGATTGGACACACCTGAAGACCTTGACACACCTGCAGCTGATCAGGCCTGTCGGAGGAGCTATTTGAGAGTGTGGTGGAGCTCTCTCCGACGCTGGATCATTGCGTGGCTTCACGTCAGTCTCTCGACCAGTTCCTAGTTTGAGTCTGCTGCATTATTGTGTGTCTGACGGCTTCCTCTCTCTTATGTCCCCAGGAGTTACGGGGAGACGAGAGAACAGCGAGCACGGGGTGCTCATCACGGAGAAGCGGAGACAGGAGCACTAGCACTGAGAAGAGGACACGTCACGGGAGTCGGGAGAGCACGGGATTTATTGTCCTGTCTGTCCATCGCTGTAAATAAACGCACTGCTTGTACATAGAGCACCGCGCCTGTGTTCTCCTTCCCTACAGCCCCACGGTCTGCCAGCCAGACCGTGACATTATGAGTGAACTTGGCTTTAAGTGACTTACAGGTTTCTCTGAAAAATACTTTCTTATATCCAGGTTCTTCCTCTTTGCTGCCGTCCTCCTCTCCTCCTGGCAGCGCAGGCTTGCCGCTGCTAAAACTCAACAGAGCTCCCTGAAAGGCTCAGCCAATCACATTGGCCATATTTGTCACATGAGGTAGGACTCCAGTAGAGCACGTAATTTAACTCTTTCTGCACCGTTGGGTGAATGAGACGCTGACACATCGCCTTTTTTCCTTCTTCCTATCAGGTTTGTTTTTCTTTACTCGAAGAGATCAAATTATTGGTGGGGACAATTCAATAATCGCTGGATATTGGTGGGGACATGTCCCCTCCGTCCATGCCAAATCAACGCCCTTGCCCGAATCGATTCAATCCATGATTCGATTCGATTTGGGGAAATTTTGCCTCAGACAGTCAGCAATATTATAATTTAGATCATGCCTTCAGAGAATTACACATCCAATCTTACAGGAGGTCTCACCACTCGACCAGATCTGGTAACAGTCCCTGTTGGTGTGAGGTGGCTCCTATTTCTCCTTAGAAAACCCGTCTGTAGATCTGGGAGCACTGGCAGGTCCAACTACTGCTCCGGTTCCTTCAGTAGTAATCCACACCTTCTGTCCTGACTCTATGTCTGCGGTTGTTGTGTTTTGCCTGCTCACGCCTCCCCTCCTCATCCTTCTTGCAAAAAGCCTGTAGGTCGGGCCACTTTGGCACCAGCTTCGCTGCAGCTTGTGGCAGAGAGGTACGCAGGTGTCTCCCCATGAGCAACTGTGCCGGTGAGAGCCCATGTTCCAGTGGGGTGGCCCTGCACGCTAGCAGTGCTCTGCTGTAGTCACAGTCCTTTCAAGTCTTTAATGGTACGATCAGCGCGTTCTGCCTCCCCGTTGGCTCGGGGGTACCTGGGGCTGCTCGTTTCATGTGTGAACTGGTACTCTTTAGCAAAGAGCTTGAACTGTTCTGATGAAACTTGCGGCCCGCTGTCCGATACCACAGTCTCGGCAACTGCATGTCTTGCAAAGGCCTCTTTTATAGCATTAATAGTGACCTCTGCTGTTGTGTGTCTCAGTTCAGCAAGTACCACGACCAGATTTGGTGTGTGGTAGTAACAGGTAAATGAACTTTTTTTTTTAATGATTTGAATATATATGAATGCTTGTGCATGAATACACAAACAATACACACATGCTTTCATGCTTTCAATTGTGTAATCTACGTGATCTAGAGCAGCGGTCTCCAACCTTTTTTGCACCACGGACCGGTTTATGCCCGACAATATTTTCACGGACCGGCCTTTAAGGTGTCGCGCATAAATACAACAAACTAAAGCTGGTACCGAAAAAAAAAAGATTTATTCATAACACACGTGAAAAGACCCAGGAAAACCGAGTAAACGATAACAAAATAACGCTGAAAACCAATAAAAACCCTGAAAACCAGACATTTCACACCTGAGCCTCAACTCTCGCGGCCCGGTACCAAACGACTCACGGACCGGTACCGGTCCGAGGCCCGGGGGTTGGGGACCGCTGATCTAGGTAGCTCTGCTTTGGAAGTTCAGTTCAAGCTAGAAATGTGTTTTGAAGTTTGTACGTGTTTTGTCTCTAGGGGCCACCACATATATTTATATACAAACATATATAAATAAAAATACTTTTGTTCTACATTAGTAATTCCTTTTGTGCATAATTTTATATTATTGTTAATAATAAATTAATTAAAGCAACAAAACAACCTGAAGAGCCGGTTGGGAGCCGAAAGAGCCGGCTCTCTAAAAAGAGCCGGAAATCCCATCACTAATGCACTCAGCACGTTCGGGTGAAGTTCACCAACTTTACTTCGTTTCCCGGAAGTACCCCCCCCCCCCCCCCCCCCCCCCCCCCCCCCCCCCCCCCCCCCCCCCCCCCCCCCCCCCCACACGCACACACACACACACAGCCTTATGGGTACAGTAGTCTCCCGCTACAGCATCAGTACATTTCCACATTTTTATATCTATAAAAAGGAAGCTGACACTTGCCAGACTTTATCAAAGCTGTGAGCATCACAGCAGAGGCCTTTGTGTCAAAGTAGCTGAAGATAAAACACAGAAAAACATGAAGGTGATTTTCCTGTTCTGGGATTTTATAAAAATATTCTGCAGTACATCAAAAACGAAAGAAAACCATTAATCAGCATATGAACATTACCTGATGCTGCTGAAGTGAAGCAGAGCAAAGTTACAGAGGTTTGATTACAGACACAGCTGAGTGTTTTGCAATTTTGCATAATTTTAAAAAGTTTACATTTGTTCAGTATTGTACAGCAGAAATGAGGTTTTCTTTTCGGAAGTAAGTAAAAGTAAAAAAACAGCGGCCCACAGCGCTGCAAACAACGGTAGACTTGTGCGTAACAAGCAAGCGAATAATGCAGAAAACCGAGTTTTAGACGGAAACTGTTCTTGAAGTACAGAGAGAGAGAGCTGTGCATGAAGTGTGGTGGAAGCAAAACAGCGAAAGTCAGAGTGAATTCATGACGATGCTGATCAAATGTGAAGCGTAGTTTGCTGCTTCTTTTGCTGCTGGTTTGGTGAATTTTGGTTGGAGAGAGATAAAACCTGCAGCTCAGAATCAGCGCAAAAAGGGCGCAAACACAAAGCGCGGGCCCGCCGAAACAGTGTGCGTCCGTGGGACATCTCACTGATCCTGATGCTGTTTACGTCTCTGTGCAGAATCCGTGTTTCTGCTCTCATTTACGGTTTTAGCTGTTTGGTGGTTGTTGAAATTTTGTGAGGTTTAACCTGAGATTCTGGCTTTTCGGGCAAAATAAATTTATAATAAAAAAGATGGATTCAGTTATTCGTCCCTCCTAAGCCAGGGGAGGAGCTGGAAGTGTGGCCAGTCAGCATGCTGCTTCTACCCGGCAGCCTGTCTGTTGCTGCCACAAAAAAACGGATATAAGAAATAAGGCAAGAAAGTAATTAACCCGCTGATGAAAATGGCTTGTAAAATATTCCGTTGTCGTCCGGGGAACAGTCGCTTATTTTTTATTTCATTTTATCGATGATAATAATAATGATCTTACAGATTTTAAAAAAAAAATATTTCTATCTTTAAAAAGTCATGTTTGATACTCTGAACTAAACACGCGTCTTTTAAAATTCAATTTCTTCCGAAAATGTCTGAAAATGTGGCGAATCTGAAACTTGTTCTGACAGGTTGTACCGTTAACAAACACCAGATAACGTGAAAACCGGTTAATCTGGAACACCGGAAGTTCCGACCGTTTTTTTCCTTTAAATTGCGACCTTTCCTCCCAGTAGCTTGACGAAGTCACTACATTTGCCTTCCTTAGCTCTCAACTAGCCGTGCGAGCAAACCCAGAGATATACGTCCGGGTACAGACTGAGGTAGTGCTGTTGTTTCTCTCTGTGTTTGCATGGTCTGAAACTCGCTAATGAATGACTAAGGCGAAGTTTGCTAACTTACAGCTAGCAGCAAGTTGAAACGCGTGGCGGTGTCCGTCGTACAGCTGGTCTCTGCGTTATATTGTCAGCGTGTTGTTGTTATTACACTTACTACCTACAGCGACCAGTGGAAGACGATATAGCGTTTTATGCTGTAACAAGGTGATGATTATGCATGGAAATGGAAATTACGAGTCACCCCGTCATTGTACCGCACATCACTGACAGCTTTGTTCTGATTTGTTTCTGTCATAAAACTAAAGCGCCGCCGTGATCCGAGTATGTGGAGGAAGTATTTCCTCTGAAGGCTCACTGTTAGAAATGTGCACTAATCAAGCTTTAGGTCAAGTCAGCCGCCAGACCTCCCTGACGACCTCTGCTCATGTCAGTGTTGTCAAATCTCGCGAGAAGAGCTAGAGTTGAGAAGTCACATGAAATATATAAATTTGTTTATGTTCTTATATCTGCTCAGTTTCAAATGGCAATGCAACCAACCGGGGAAATATCACTTTATGAAGAGAAATGTGATACGTTTCATCAGAGTAGTGTAATGGGGGATCTGCATCATCCTTCAGATTACTCGGCAGCTCTGTTCTGTCACATCTTAAATGTACTCTGTTGGACTGAGATCTGCACCCTATTCCAGGAAGATGGCTAAAAATGAGTCTGTTAACTGTGAGGTGGTGGCTGACAGACTATGTGAACGTAACGTGCTCGCTGGCAGATATTCTTCCTGACTTATCCCTTCCTGCTGCACCTCAACCAGCTCTCTGACACTCTTTCCTCATTCATAAAGTCACTGCCAAAGTGCACAGTTTGCTATTTTGTTATATCTGTTTTGCTTTTTTTGTACTTAACATAACTGCTTTTACAATAATTCACTCATCAATATATATGGACAGAGACTTTAAGAATAAAATGTTTTGTCTCCATCTTTCTAACCCTGCCTCAGTAGATGATAATGCTTATGTCAGCCAGTTTTCCTGCAGTCATCATTCATGCTGTAATCAGTCACACTGATTGAGAAAAGGTCTGTCACATTAGGGAACTGGCACATGTTTGAGTGAAGACTAGGCTGAAGTTATTTTAAGACTTAAGTGGGATGAAATGTGTTTCAGAGCGAGTTGTTAAATGCAGGATGCTCAACTGTTTATGTTGAATTTGTACACAAGTTAACATTCAGCCATTAAATGCTGGCAGAGTCTGAACCTCAATGTATTTTCCACTGAAAATATCCTAAATCAGTCTTGATTTTTCAAAAATGATTATTAACAATATAATAACCTGAGTTAAAAGGTTTGAGCAGACATGGTTGGCTGTCTGTATATTCAAGGAGAAATTAAAATAGGAATAAAAAACAGAAATAGGAGTGTTGGCAAAGCAGCTATGTAAGTGGTGCTCAAGCAGCTGTTCAGTGTTCCAGTGTTATTAGACCCAACGTTCGATAATGGTCAGCTAATGGAGTTAGCAACTTTTTCACCCTTTGGCATCATGTTGGCCAAGTGGTTAGCAAACAGAAACTTGTCTTTTACGATGCTAAATCACTAAAGCTTATTTACTTGCTA